AGAAAGAGAAATTAAGGAAACAATTTCATTTACTATCGTAACAAAAAGAATAAAATACCTAGGAATAAACCTACCTAAGGAGGCAAAAGACCTATACTCAGAAAACTATAAAACACTGATGAAAGAAATCAAAGATGACATAAACAGATGGAGAAATATACCATGTTCTTGGACAGGAAGAATCAATATTGTGAAAATGACTATACCACCCAAAGCAATCTACAGATTCAATGCAATCCTTATCAAATAACCAATGGCATTCTTCACAGAATTAGAACAAAAAATTTTACAATTTGTATAGAAACAGAAAAGACCCCAAATAGCCAAAGCAATCTTGAGAAAGAAAAACGGAGCTGGAGGAATAAGGATCCCCGACTTCAAACTATACTACAAAGCTACAGTAATCAAGACAGTATGGTATTGGCACAAAACCAGAAATATAGATCAATGGTACAGGATAGAAAGTCCAGAGATAAACCCACGCACCTATGGTCATCTAATTTATGACAAAGGAGGCAAGAACATAAAATGGAGAAAAGACAGCCTCTTCAATAAGTGGTGCTGGGAAAACTGGACAGCTACATGTAAAAGAATGAAATTAGAACACTTCCTAACACCACACACAAAAATAAACTCAAAATGGATTAAAGACCTAAATGTAAGGCCAGACACTATAAAACCCTTAGAGGAGGGCTTCCCTGGTGGCGCAGTGGTTGAGAGTCCACCTGCCGATGCAGGGGACACGGGTTCGTGCCCCTGTCCGGGAAGATCCCACATGCCACGGAATGGCTGGGCCCGTGAGCCATGGCCGCTGAGTCTGCGCGTCCAGAGCCTGTGCTCCACAACGGGAGAGGCCATAGCAGTGAGAGGCCCGCGTACTGAAAAAAAAAGAAAAGAAAAGAAAAAAAAACTCTTAGAGGAAAACATAGGAAAAACACTCTTTGACATAAACCACAGCAAGATCTTTTTTGACCCACCTCCTAGAGTAATGAAAATAAAAACAAAAATAAACAAATGGAACCTACTTAAACTTCAAAGCTTTTGCACAGCAAAGGAAACCATAAACAAGACGAAAAGACAACCCACAGAATGGGAGAAAATATTTGCAAACGAAGCAACAGACAAAGGATTAATCTCTAAAGTATACAAACAACTCATGTAGCTCAATTTCAAAAAAAACCAAACAACCCAATTAAAAAATGGGTGGAAGACCTAAGTAGACACTTCACCAAAGAAGACATACAGACGGCCAAGAGGCGCATAATAAGCTGCTCAACATCACTAATTATTAAAGAAATGTGAATCAAAAGTGCAATGTGTTATCATCTCACACCAGTCAGAATGGCCATCATCAAAAAATCTACAAACAATAAACGCTGGAGAGGGTGTGGAGAAAAGGGAACCCTCATGCATTGTTGGTGGGAATGTAAATTGATACAGCCACTGTGGAGAACAGTATGGAGGTTCCTTATAAAACTAAACAGAACTACCATATGACACAGCAATCCCACTACTGGGCATATACCCTGAGAAAACCATAATTTAAAAGGACACATGTACCTCAATGCTCATTGCAGCACTATTTACAATAGCTAGGACATGAAAACAACCTAAATGCCCAATGACAGATGAATGGATAAAGATGATACATATATACAATGGAATATTACTCAGCCATAAAAAGGAATGAAATTGGGTCATTTGTAGTGAGGTGGATGGATCTAGAGTCTGTCATACAGAGTGAAGTAAGTCATAAAGAGAAAAACAGTTATTGTATATTAACGCATATATATGGAATCTAGAAAAATGGTACAGATGAACCTATTTGCAGGGCAGGAAGAGAGATGTAGATAGAGTGAAGGGACATGTGGACACAGGGTGGGAAGGGGAGGGTGGGACGAACTGGGAGATTAGGATTGACATATATGCACTACCATGCATAAAATAGATAGCTAGTGGGAACCTGCTATAAAGCACAGGAAGCTCAGCTCAGTGCTCTGTGATGACCTAGAGGGGTGGGATGGGGTGGGGGTGGGAGGGAGGTCCAAGAGGAGGGGATATAGGTATACTTATAGCTGATTCACTTAATTGTACAGCAGAAACTAACACAACATGGTAAAGCAATTATATTCCAATAAAAAATAATAGGGCTTCCCTGGTGGCGCAGTGGTTGAGAGTCCGCCTGCCGATGCAGGGGACGCGGGTTCATGCCCCGGTCCGGGAAGATCTCACAGGCCGCGGAGCGGCTGGGCCCGTGAGCCATGGCCACTGAGCCTGCGCGTCCGGAGCCTGTGCTCCACAAAGGGAGAGGCCACAGCGGTGAGAGGCCCGCGTACCACAAAAACAACAACAACAAAAAATAATAATAATAATAATTAAAAGAAAAAAAGAAGAAGCACCAGAGTCAAGCTCAAGGAAAAGCTCTCCAGAGAAGTGCCCCTTGAGCTGAGCTTTGAGGAAAGAATTGAAAGGGGGGCAGTTGGGCAAGGTGGCGGTAGAGGAGGAGGACGGAGGAGGAAGGAAGGATAGGCCTCCAAAGGACATGTCTGAAGGCCCAAGGCTAGAAATAGCTTCCTTTAGAGAAGTTCAAGTAATTCCTATTTTTTTTTTTAATTCATAGCCAATTATTTTAAGCACTGATTTTTGTTTTTTTGGCTGTGTTGGGTCTTTGTTGCTGCGTGTGGGCTTTCTCTAGGTGCAGTGAGCGGGGGCTACTCTTCACTGCGGTGCGCGGGCTTCTCGTTGCAGTGGCTTCTCTTGTTGCGGAGCATGGGCTCTAGAGCACAGGCTCAGTAGTTGTGGTGCACGGGCTCAGTTGCTCCGCGGCATGTGGAATCTGCTTGGACCAGGGCTCAAACCCGTGTCCCTGCATTGGCAGGCAGATTCTTAACCACCGCACCACCAGGGAAGTCCCATGTAATTCTTTAAAGCAGATACAAAGGGTAAAGTTGAAAAATAAATAGTGGGAAATACAGCTTAAGAATCAGGAAGAAGTTATATCTTGAAGGGCCTTGTGTGCTGAATTTGAACTTTGTCCTGAAAGCTATGGAAAGCCCTTGAAAGATTTTAAGTAGGAAATAGATGATACAATTTGCTTTTCAGAAAGATCATTTTATCAGTAATGTTGAGGACACATAGGAGGGTTGAGTAGATTGTAGGGAAACCAGTTAGAAGACTACTGCAGTAGTGCCTGATAGAGGTGATGAGAGTCTGAATTTCGGCAGTGAGAGTGGCTGTAGAAATGAAATTGAGGGAGGACAGGGAGAGAGGGAGGGACTGACACAAGAGGTAATAAAAAGAGACTTGGGAGAACCTGATGACTAACTGAGCGTGAGGGATGAGTGAGAATGAGAATAGAGAAAGATTCCCAGGCTTCTAGGTTAGGTATCTGGCGATTTGACGATGCCACTTACTGAGACAGAAGCCAGAATTGGAACAGAAAGACAATGTGTTTGGTTTGGGGCATATTTAATTTGGTGTGTCTATGAGACATCCAAGTGGAGATGTCAGATAAATGGATATCTGGGTCTGGAGTTCAGCAGTGATCAGGGCTGAAGATAAAGACTTAGAAGTCACCAGAATAAAAATGGTGGCTGAAACCCTGGGTTAAGGAGAGTGCTTAGTTAAAAAACAAATTAGGGAACACCGATTTAGCAGGTCATCAGAAGAAGAGGAAGCCTTGAAAGATATTAAGAAGAAATGTCCAGAAAGGCAGAAGGAAAACATAATGATAAGCACCATTTTGGGGGATACCTATTGCCTTCTAGTGAATGGCCTGGGACCTTTATATACATCATTTCACTGAATTCTTAGGGCAACCCTAGAAGGTACATGTTTTCAAACAGAAAAACCTAAGTTCTGAAAAGTTAAGTAATTTGACAAGTGTATGTTTGGCCTCTGGAGTCAGATGAGACCTAGATTGAAAACCGACCTCCCAGTAGCTATGGGATGTGTGCAAATTTGTAATCTCTCTTGAGTCTCGATTTCGTCGTCCACATAGGATACAAATAGAACCTACCTCTGGGATTGTTGTGAAGATTAGATGAGATAGCATATGTAAATTGCCTGGCACTGAGTCGGTACTCGATACCTGATAGCTTTATCCTTATTAATAACTATAACCACATATAACTATGTGAACAAGTTACTGTCTCTTCTTTAGCTCCAAATTCTCACCTAAGGTCCTTAGTGTACAACTGAGACCTGAGCCGGGCGAAACTATTATAAGGCTTTGCTAAAGACTTAGGCATAGCTAGATGGGAATGAACACAGAGAGCAACGTAATGCTTGATAATCTGAAAGTGTATCACTTCATCTTAGGACCCCCTCCAGGGGAGTACTGCCTTCCTGACTAGTCCTTGGGAGAAGCCATTTTTCCATACCACCAGGGAGCATCATCAAATAGTCAGTACACCTAAAAGCCCAGCAAGAGTGTGGTCCCACAGGAAGTCAGGAGTCCTCACCCAAGTCTAAGACCCACCTTCCAAGATCTTGACATCTGTCTGAGGAACTGCCCTTTCCAGATGATTGATGCAGGGATGCTCACTTTCTCCAGAGAAAATCATGTCTACCTCTACGAGGATGGCCTTACACTATGGCCTCAACAGTAGAGACTTATTAGAACACAACAGAATAAGCCCAATGAGGGTTATACCCTTTTCGTAATTCCTAGAAAAGATGAGATTCCTTATACAAACTCTTCTTAATCTTTCAAAACCCTTCTACGCAAAGTCACTCTGAAAAGTGAGTTTGGATAAAGCCAGAAACTGACTATAGTCCAAGTACAACAACAAGACATATAGCAAAAGGGACCTACCAGATTGAAAGTAAGAAAAATATTTTGTCAGTATAATCGAGAAAGAACCATAAATGTATGTCTTAAAAATTAAAAGATGTAAGTAGATATGGAAATGAATAAATTATTGGTTAATGTTCAAAAATTTGTAGAAATAAAATATATTGGAAAAAATGGCCTAAGTTACAATAGACCAAAACAACAGTGTCTAGAAATTTTTTTAATGCACAACATCTACATGGGGAAAATATTTAAGTTATTTAAAGCTTTACGGAAGACCCGAATAAATGGACAGATACAATACGTGGATGAATCTCACAGCCATATGTTGAGGGAAAGAAGTCAGACACCAAAGAGTATATACTATGTGACCACATTTATGTGAAGTGCAAATAGGCAAAACTAATCTACAGTGAGAGAGGTCAGAACACTGGTTCTTTTTGGTGGTGGTGGGGTAATTGCATGGGAGGGAAGCTCCAGAGGGTGTAAGTTGCAGGAGTGGGTGGCTCAGACCCCTTCAACACTAACTGATGCTGCTTCCTCTTCCTCTTTCTCAATCCATGCCTATGGCCTCTTGGGGGTGCTCTTTATGGCCAGTGGACTAAAGAAGAAAACACTGAAGGCTGGTTTGTGGATGGCTCTGCATGACATGCTGAGACCACCTGGAAGTAAATAGCTGCAGCACTACAGCCCCACTCGGGTAGCTCGGAAGCACAGAAGTGAAGGCCAAGCCTCTCAGTGAGCATTACAATTCTTGTCCACTTTGTCTGGAATAAGAAATGGCCAGAAGTATGGATCTACTCTGATTCCTGGGCTGTCACTCATGGGTGGCTGGATGATAAGGGACATGGGTGGCTGGATGATAAGGGACATGGAAGTGGGCAAGGGAGGTTGGAGGAGAGGCACATCCCAGGATGGGCAGAGACTGAAGATACTTGTGTCTCCTGTCAATGCCCACAGAGGAGAGCCACTGCAGGGAGCCTGTTAATAACAAGGCGGGCAAAATTACACGGTAAGTGGATGCTGGTCAGTTTCTCTGCTCGGCCACCACACTGTTTATTCAATAGTATGACCTTCCTCTGACCAAGGCAGAGATGGATAATGCTGCTGTTAACCGGCCAGCAGAGACACCCATGAGCCCCCAGCGTGGCACTGCTCCCAGGGAGACAAGCCAGCCAAATGACGGCAGCTTGATTATAGTGGTGGAGGCAGAGATTCATCCTGGGCATCATTCCACTGGAACAGCTCCGCATTCGGGATATGGACTTGCTCTCCCCATCTGCCTCTGTCAGCACCGTCTGCAGACCCATAGAACCACACTCCTTACAGCACTGCTTCTGATGAAGGAGCTCATTTCACAGCAAAGGAAGTGCAGCCACATACTCTATCGTCTGGAAGTGGCTGGGAAAACAGAAATTGGAGTGGCTTAATGAAGACACAGTTACAGTACCAGTTGGGACACAACATCCTGAAAGGACGGGATTCTGCCTTATTATGATGCAGTCTACACATTGAATCAAAGGACATTATATGATGTTATCTCTGCCACAGTGAGAACGCATGGGTCTGGGATTGAAAGGGTGAGAGGAGAGACTTTGCTCACTATATATACAAAAAAAAGCCTTGCAGAATTTTTGCTTCCCACACTGACAGTCTTGAGCTCTGCTGGTCTGGAGGTCTTAGTGCCCAAGGAGGGAACACTTCAACCAGCAGCGTTCCGTTTAATTGGAGCATGAGACTGCCACCTGCCCATTCTGGGTTCCTGATGCCACTGAGCCAACAGGCCAGGAGAGTGTTTACTCTACTGATTCGAATGATTGATCCTGATTTCCAGGAAGAAATTGAGTTGCTGCTATACAATCGGGGCAGTGAGAACTGTGTCTGGAACCCAGGGGATTCTCTGGAGCGTCTCTTGGCAATTTTATGTGCAATAGTTAAGATTAATGTAAAATTACAGCAAAAAAAAAAAAAAAAGGCTGTATGATTTTGGATTTGGATTTTTTAGGAATGAAGATTTGGATCACAGCACCTGGCAAAGAACCCCGACCAGCTGAGGCTCTGGCTGAGGGCAGGGGAAACATGGAATGCGTAGTGGGGAAAGCAAGCCATCTGATCAATTCCAGCCTCATGGAAGACAAAGGTATCAGGTACAGAAACAAGGACGCAGGGGCTGTGTGCAGTTTCTCTTTGCTTGTTATGTGTGTGCTTACTTGTACATGCAATCCATTTCCTTCTCTCTCCTTCTTCCTAATATTATTTTATATACAGGTTGTTGGAGATAATACTTTATAATTTAGTGCGACTGAATTTGGGGAGTCATTCATACAGCTGGTGATGGATACAGTGACTGTATCTCTTGATTTGGGGGAAGGGTGAGAACATTTTCATTTCTGTGCAGGATGCTCATATCTTGTTAGGTGGAAACGGAGTTGCTTTGTTGTTGGAAGGAAGTTTAAGTGTACGTGGGAGGACGGATACGGAAGCTGACGGTCAAAGGGCTGGACTCTGCGCATCACCGGCTTATTGCCTGTTCATCCCAAATCCACCCTTCACGGTCCTGTTTTTGATGCTGGAACATCTCCGCCTTGCCGGCTGGCCCGGTTACCAGCTTTGTCACTGGGAACACTGGAGGGACACAGGGGAGGAGGGGCTCTTCCTGCTGCTCGGATGTGCTCCTATTGGGGGCCCACGCCCGGAGGCAGTTTCTCAGTGAGTTGTGTGCAGTGACCCACGCAGGGATGCCACATCCTGTGAGAGCCAGCCTCATCCCAACAAACTGGGAGACAGTTTGTGATGGGAAAAATCTGACTGCTGCCCTCACCCCACAGCCAGCTCTTCCTGGAGAGGGAGAGCCACTTCTGAGAGACCTCCTGGGTCCCATGAGAAGATCACATTTAATTTAAGCTGATTACAGCCCTAGTTTCCTCGTGGATAATTGTGAGGGCTACCAAAGGCTGTATCTCAACAACCTAAACCCACTGAATTGTAAGAAACACCATAATTTTATGTACCAGTAAGAAGAAAATGCCCGCAACTGCCCTTTGGCGCCACGTCTTAGCAGTAATCGCCATGACAAATGAACGAGTCACACCAGCCTCTCGTCGCTTTGAGGTTTTCAGCTACCCTGAGGGACCTGGCAGTTCCTCTTGCCTTCCACTGCATTGCTTGGCATGCGAGATAGACCTTTGTCCTTTGGCTTGTGTTTCAGTGACAGACAGGCTCGCCATTTTGTAGGTATATTCTGTTCTTATGACCCATTAGAATTTGGTAGAATTATGGTCATATCTCCACATGAAATATTTATTTGACCAATATCAGATTTATGCTCATTGCTGTTTCTATGTGTTTCTGCGTACACAATACATTTGTGTCAAGTTGAATCAAAGGGTAATCTTTCTGGGACTTCCTGGCGGTCCAGTGGTTAGGACTCCGCGCTTCCACTGCAGGGGGCACGGGTTCGATCCACGGTTGAGGAACTAAGATCCTGCGTGTCATGTGGTGAGGCCAAAGGAAAAAAAAAAAAAAGAAAAAGGGTAATCTTTCTGAAGAGATTTTTAAAGGCAATTAGATTCAACGTGGGTAGTACCAAGTGTACATGGCTCAACTGAATGACAGCTATGACCAAGTTCACACACGCAAATGACAACTGTAAGTCAATAACCACAACTGTGACATGACATTGATTCAAAAACATGTCCCACGTTGAAAAAATTACACCCTTTTTATCGCTGATGAAACATGTATTTCAAGTAAAGTTAGTCCAGTGCCCGGCACATTGCAACCAATCTACACATGCTGGTCCTGCTCCAGATACATCTTTCAAAGACAGTGTTTTCCTTCTAGAATGCACTATCCAATAGAGTAGTCACCTGCCACACATGGCTATTCACATTGAAAATGCAATTAAATAACAAGTAAGATGAAAAATCTAGTTCCTCAGTTGCACTCACCACATTTCAAGTCTCAGCTGCCCCCTTACTGGACAGTGCAGATTGGATGGCTCTTGTTGCCACACGAAGTTCTATTGAGGAGCACTTTTCTAGAAACTTCTATTAATAAGACATATATATATATATTTTTTTTTGGATAAAATTGAAACTTTATTCTTCATAACATATGCAGATATTAAATTAAATGCTAAACATAGAAAGCTTCTAAAAGTAAATGTAGATTATGAAAATATCTTCAGCAACTTGGAATAGGCAAAAATGCATATCTTTGTTTTTAACAATTTTTAATCTGAGATTGGTGTCAAGATGACACGGGGTAAGGAGGGTAAAGAGGATGCTACCTATTATTTATGAATCAGAATGCGTATAGAAGAAAAGGATAAGATAAAACCAGCATCACTAACTAGAACAGATTGTCAATTTGTACCGAGCACTTCTTTTTTTTGAAGTATAGTTGACTTACAATATTATATTAGTTTCAAGTGTACAACATAGTGATTCACAATTTTTAAAGATTAAACTCCATTTAAAGTAATTACAAATCACAGCCATATTTTCCTGTGCTGTGCAATAGATCCTTGTAGCTTATTTTATACATAATAGTTTGTACCTTTTAATCCCCTACCTCCATCACATCCCTCCCCCGTCCCTCTCCCCTCCCCCCTCCCCCTAACCATTGGGTTGTTCTCTATATCTGTGAGTCTGTTTCTGTTTTGTTATGTACCTTCATTTGTTTTGTTTTTAGATTCCACATATAAGTGATAACACAGAGTATTTGTCTTTCTCTGTCTGACTTATTTTACTAAGCATAATGCCCTCCCGGTCCATCCCTGTTGCTACAATAGACATACACTTCTTATATACACAGAATATATTACTAAGTGTCCATGTCACTCCCATTCTTTCCATTTCTACCATTACCGTCTCTGCCCACACCTTCCTCTTCTCCCCAAGCCCCAGCCCAACACCCATCCACAAAAATGGGCTTCTACCTCCAGGGATTTTTTGCTCTTTTTTTAAAAAAACTATTAATTTTAAAATAACTATAGATTCACAGGAAGTTCCAAACAATTACAGATTTACAAGAAGTTGCAAATATTCTATAGAGAGGTCCCACACACCTTGCACCTAGTTTTTCTCAATGGTCACACCTTACAAAAACCAGGTAACTGACACTGATTCAATGTGTGCGTATAGCTCTGTATCACCACGTGCAGATTTGTGCAACCACCAGCAGAATCAAGATACAGAACCATTCTATTACCAGAAATATCTCCCTTGGGTTATCCCTTGAACACCCCCCCTCCACCCCTCCAACGTTACTAATTCCAGGAAATCACTAATTTCCCTTTATTCTCCATCTCATAACACAGTCATTTTGAGAACATTGTATAAATGGAACTACACAGTATGTGACCCTTTGAGGCTGGCTTTTTTTTTCACTCAGCATAATGTCCTTGAGGTCTATCCAAATTGTCGCATGTGTCAAAAGTTTGTGTCTTTTTATCACTGAGTAGTACTCCACGTTATGATGTATCACAGTCTGTTTAACTATTGACCTGTTGTGGGAAATGTTGCTTCCAGTTTTTGGCTCTTAAAAATAAAGCTGCAATGAACACCTTCCTGTGTGGACGTAAGATTTCATTTCTCTAGGATAAATGCCTGGAATGTGATTGCTGAGTCATATGGTTTCTATTTAGTTCTTTTAAGAAACTGCCAAACGATTCCAGGGCACCACTTTATACACCATGAGCAACGTCTGAGCGATTCAGCTCCCCACAGGTTCACTAACACTTGATATTGTCACCATTTTAAAATTTACTTGCTTTGTAAGTGATGATATTGTATCACTAATTGTTTTAATTTGAATTTCTATTGAACATCTCTTTACATGATTGCCACCCGTGCATCCTTTTTTTTCGTGAAATATCTCTCCATGGCTTTTGTCCATTTTCTAATCAGATTGTCAGTAAAAAAAAAAAAAAAAAAGTGAAGTTTTGAGAATGCTTTATATATTCTAGATGAATCCTTTGTGAGATACATGTTTTCCAAATATTTTCTCCAAAACTATAGCTTGTCTTTTCATTCTCTTAAGTATCTTTCACAGGGCAAAAGTTTTCAATTTTGATGTCTACTTTATTGATTTTTAAAATTTTATGGGCCATGATTTTGATATAATGTCTGAAAACTTCACCAAGCTCTACACCCTGAAAATTTTCTGTATTTTTCCTAAAAGTTTTGTAGTTTTACATTTTACACTTAAATCTATGATCCATTTTGAGATATTTTTTATATAAAGTGTGAGACAGGTCAAATTTTTTATTTTTGCTAATGGATATCCAACCATTTGTTGAAAAGACTAATCTTCCTCCATTGAATTACTTTTGCACCTTTGTCAAAAATCTGTTGGTTGTACTTCTGTGGGTCTATTTCCGGTTCCTCTTTTCTGTTCAGTTGATCTGTGTGTCTACTTTCCTAACCACTAGAATCTCTTGAAACTGGTAGAGTCATTAATCCAGTTCACACTTCTCTTTCAGAATTATTTTAGCTATTTAGCTCCTTTGTCTCTCCATATAAACATAAGAATAATCTTGCCTATATTTACCAAAAGTATTGCTTGGGTTCTGATAAAAATTGTGTTAAACCTACCAACTTGGGGAGAACTGGTACTTTAAAATATTGAGTCATCCAATCCACAACATGGTATTTCTGTCCATTTATTTAGTTCTTTGGATTCTTTCATCAGCATTTTATAGTTTTCAGCATACAGGTCCTATACATGTTTTGTTAGGTTTACACCTAAGTATCTTTTTTTTTTTTTTTTTGCCTTCGGATCCATTTTTATTTTATGATTTTCAAATTTCTTATTATTCTCATTTTTTTATACAATTTTAAAGGTTACACTTCATTTACAGTTATTACAAAGTATTGGCTCTATTCCCTGTGTTGCACACACACCCTTGTAGCCTGTCTTACCCCCAATAGTTTGTACCTCCCACTCCCCCTCCCCTACAATGCCCCTCCCCACTGCCCCCCTCCCTGGTAACCACCAGTTTGTTCTCTACGTCTGTGAGTCTGCTTCATTTTTGTTATATTCACTAGTTTGTTGTATTTTTAGATTCCACATATAAGTGATATTATACAGTATTTGTCTTTCTCTGTCTGACTTCTTTTACTAGCATAATGCCCTCCAAGTCCATCCATGTTGCTGCCAATGGCAACATTTCATTCTTTTTTATGGCTGAGTAGTATTCCATTGTATAGATGTACCACATCTTCTTTATCCACTCATCTGTTGATGGACACTTAGGTTGCTTCCATATCTTGGCTATTGTAAATAATGCTGCTACAAACAGTGGAGTGTATGTATCTTTTCAAATTAGTGTTTTTGTTTCCTTCAGATGAACACACAGGAGTGGAATTGCTGGATCATATGGTAATTCTATTTTTAGGTTTTTGATGAATCTCTATATTGTTTTCCACAGCAGTTGCATCAATTTACATTCCCACGGACAGTGTGCAAGTGTTCCCTTTTCTCCACATCCTTGCCAACATTTGTTATTTATGTTCTTTTTGATGATAGCCATCCTGACAGGTGTGAGGTAGTATCTCATTGTGGTTCTGATTTGCATTTCCCTGATGATTAGCAATGTCAAGCATCTTTTCATGTGCCTGTTGGCCAACTGCATTTCCTCTTTGGAAAAATTGTCTATTCAGTTCTTCTGCCCATTTTTTAATCAGGTTGTTGTTTTTTTTACATTGAGTTGTATGAGCTGTTTATATATGTTGGATATTAATACACCTAAGTATTAATTTGGTTTTGAGTAATTATAAATGCTAGTGTATTTTTAATTTGGGGTTTCATGTGCTCATCTAGTATAGAATTTTGAATGTTTATCTTTGTATTCTGTGACTTTGCTTAAGTCACTTTTTAGCTTTAGGAGAGCTTTTGTAGATTCTTTGGGATTTCTACATAAACCATCATGTCATCTGCAAATAGGGACAGTTTTATCTCTTCATTTCCCATCCCTATGCCTTTTATTTCCTTTTCTTGCCTTATTGTGCTAACACTCCTACTACTATGTTGAACAGCAGGGGTGAGAGAGGACATCCCTGCTTTATTTGAAATGTAAGGGGAAAGCACTCAGTCTTTCACCATTAAGTAAAGTGGTTGCTGCTGGGTTTTTGTAGATGACTATTTATTCAGTTGAGGAAGTTTCCTTCTATTTCCATTTTTCTAAGCCTTTTATCTTGAATGGGTGTTAAATGCTGTCCAGAGTTTTTCTGCATCAACTGATATGATCGTGTGATTTTTCTTCTTTAGCCTCTTAATATGTGATTACACTGATGGATTTCCAAATATTGAACCAGCTTTGTATCCATGGAAAAAAAACTACACTTGGTCATGGGTTACAACACTGTTGAATTTTCATTAATATTCTGTTAAGGATTTTTGCATCTATATTCATGAGGATGTGTTAACTTTCATTTTCTGTACTGTTTTTGTCTAGTTTGGTACAATGTTAATAGTGCCTTCACAAAATGAATTGGGAAGTATTTCCTCCTATTCTGTTTTCTGCAAGAGATAGTGTAGCATGTGTTAATTCTTTCATTGTTTGGTAGAACTTTCCAATGTAACCATCTGGGCCTGGAGATCTCTTTTTCAGGGATTTTTAAATTACAAATTCAATTTCCTTCATGGCTATAAGGCTATTCAAATTATTTCATATTTGATGAGTTGTGGTAGCTTGTGCTTTTCAAGGAATTGGTTCACCTAATCTAAGCTGTCACATTTATTGCATAGAGTTGTTCACAGTATTCCTTTCCTATTCTTTTGATACCTGCAACATTGATAATATCATCTTGTTTTATTCCTGATATTGATAATTTGTGTCTTCTCTCTTTGATCTTAACAGAGAAGCAGCTCACTGTTTTATTGATTTTGTTTTCCTTTTTGTCAATGCCTTTGACTTCTGGTCTTATCTTTCTTGTTTTGTTCCTTCTGCTTGCTTTTGATTATTTTGCTCTTCTTTTTTTTAAGTCCTTGAGGTCATTTGGTGTTATAAATTTCTCTTTCAATTGGTTTAGCCGTATCCCACAAATTTTGATATGTTGTATTTTTATTTTCATTCAGTTCAATGTATTCTTAAAATTTCCTGTGAGACTTCCTCTTTGGTCCATGAGCTATATAGAAGCATTTTTTTTTTAGTTTGCGTATGTTTGGGATTTTCCTGCTATATTTCTGTTACTCATTCCTGGCGTGATTCCACTGTGGTCAGAGAACACACTCTGTATATAAATTTTTGTAAGTTTTTTGAGGTTTGTCTTATGAGCCAGGATTTGGTCTATCTTAGTATATGTTCCATGGGTGCTTGAAAGGAATATGTATTCTGTTGTT